AAAAAAAAAAATTGTTTTTTTCATTTGGTCAGATATTTTATCAATATATTAATGTATATTATGACGTAATAATTTTATTTTATATCACTTATTATTATTATTATTATTATTAATGATACGCACGCACGCACGCACACACGTGCATACACCTTAAGGGAAAAATTATTATTATTTATGTAAAATCTCGATAAATTTTTTAAAGATTTTAACAATTAAACGGAATAATAATAATGATAGTGTTAAAAAAATAAAAATGGCCGAAACGATAATAATAATAATAATAATAATAATAATAACATTTAGACAATTTTTTTTTGTATATATAAATAAGGAAATACTTTTTCTTTTTCTTTTTTTTTTTTTTTTTTATTTTTACATAAATGGAAAAAAAAAGGAAAAGGAAGTAGATGAGATAAATTGTTGATATTTTAGCAGTATGTGGTCGGGGGGAAAATGAGGGGAAAATTTGACGTGGCAAAAGAAAAAAAAAAAAGAAAATTTTATTTTTTAATAATAATTTATGATTTTTTTTTTTTGGTTTTGATGTATATGCGTATGTGTGAGTATGTGCTCGCGTGCGCGTGCTTTTATAATTTAAACGAAAGATGATAGATGACTGTAAATGACTGAAAGGAAAAAAAAAAAAGGAAAAAAAAAGGAAAAAAAAGGAAAATTGTTGTTACTGAGAAAGATTTACCAGCGTGAGCGAAGTGGTTTCCTGGTGTGGCACACGATTTTTCTTTTTTTTTTTTTTTTAAAGGAATATGACCCATTTAAAAATGTTAAGAAACGCATAAAACAAGAAAAAAAAAGAAAATTGTTTGTCGAATTTTTAACAAACACTAAAAATCTCGTAATAATAATAATAATATCATTGTTATTCGAGAGTTTATTAATGAAGAATCGAGGAGAGAAACCTGGAATAAATGCGTTGAAAAATTTCCCACGTTTACACGAAATCTTGTCGTGTTTTTAAAATTATAATAATAATAATAATAATAATAATAATGATGATAATACGTTAGGAAGATTCGGGTAGAAACCTGGAAATCAAAAAATTTTCAAAAAAAAAAATAAATCCAAAGAGTTCATGGAAGTTTACGTGTTCGAAAATGAAAATGATAGTTGTACGTTTTTTAAAATTTTTTCCCGCCAAAATTTTTCCCGCTAAATTTTTCCTTTCGGTTCTGACGTATACATTTAATAATTTTCTTTTCCCACGTTCATCGGCCCATTCGCATAAATTTTTCCTCTTCGAAAGAAATAAAAACAAATTCTATCGTTCGCCATGTTTTCATCAAAAAATTTTTTTTTTTTATAATTAACTTTTATTATTATCATCATCATTATCATTATCATTATTATTATTATTATTATTATTATTATTATTATTATTATTATTGTTATTATTATTATTGTAAATTACAAATTTAAATGGAAAATGTGGAACAAGTAAAAAATTCTTTTAAATTTATGCCTCGAATTTTTAATAAGGTTCAGTAATAATAATAATATTAAATGTTAAAATTAAAATATGTATGTGTATATGTGTAAAATAATAATAATAATAATAATAATAATAATAATAATTTAGACTAATTATTATCATTATTATTATTAAAATAAAATAAAAAAACATGGTTCGCCTATTGAAAATTTTAAAAATAATAATTTATTTTTTAAAAAAAAATCGTGTAAAAATTTTATATTAAACGCGGCGTTCAACTCATAATAAATAATAATGATAATGATAATAATAATAATAATGATAATAGAACGGTAATTTTATTTTGAAAATAAACGTATCGAATCGTTTTAACGACGGGGCGGGGGGAGGGATAGAGGAAGAACAAGGAGGAGGAGGTTAATAAAATAACGATACATATTTAATTTATATATATGTATTATAAATAAATAAATAATTAATTAATTATTTATTTATAAAAAATTAAATATATTTAATAAATTTTTTTTTTGACCTTTGAACGATGACGTCATCGTCGTTTTTTTTTCTCCTTTTGAAATTCGTGGAAATCTGAAATTTTAAGAAGGAGAAAAAAAAAAGAAAAAATTGAAATGAATAATTTTCCGGGAATGAATTAAATTAATTTTTGAAGGTGAATAACAACAGCAGAGGTGATGGTGGTGGCCGTGGTGATGGTGATGGTGGTGGTGGTGGCGGTGACGGTGGTGGTGGTGGTGGCAACAACCAAAAAAAAAAAATCGCAACAAGATAAGTAAAATATAGGTAATAAAAAAAATAATAATGATAATAATATTCCGGTTGTTGAATTATTAAATAGTTTATATAACATATATAGGAGACAAATTGGAGAGAA